CAGCTCCTCCTCTGTAAAAAGGGGGTAACCGTTCCCATAATTCCCTGCCTCACAGGGCGATGGGACATGCCCACATACTGGGGGGTGGGAGCTGCATTATTACATAGGTTAGACCCGGGCCCCAGGAAAAGTTTGCTCCAGTAAGTGAGGGCTTAACGACTCACTGGCCAGGCCTCCAGGAGTCATAGGGAGACGGCTGGTGTCCACTGACCCGGGATGAGCGCCGCTGACAGCCAGCTCAGTCTAGTGTTCCACAAGAGAGGCATTTCCTGGGATCTGAGGATACGTCTACACTGCATCCCTAGTTCAGACTAGGGATGCAAATGGAGACGACCAAAGTAGTTAATGAAGCGGGGATTTAAATATCCCGCGCTTCATTAACGTGATCTCGCCGGCGCGCTGGTTCGAATCACAGCTGATTCAAACCAGGAAGTGCGCGCCAGGACACGTTAGTTCGGACTAAAGCCCTTAGTCCGCACTAACATTACTCCTCATTTTTTGAGGAGCGGGTGTGTGTACGGGGTGTGTGTGTGTGTGTGTACGGGGGGAGGTGTACGGGGTCTGTGTGGGTGTGTGTACGGGGGGAGGTGTACAGGGTGTGGGTGTGTGTACGGAGTGTGTGTGTGTGTTGGGGGAGGTGTGCGGGGCTGTGTGTACAGGGGTGTGTGGGTATTTACGGGGTTGTGTGTGTGCGACCACAAGTCCATCAGCAGGCCGCACAAGAAAGAACTTAGGCAGAGTTCCTGGGGGGCCTGCAGGGCACCACTTAGACGGGAGGGTCCGGACGGAAGCGGCATCCGAAGCGCCGCTAGTGATCTGGAAGCGGGCGCTCTGCTCCCCGAGTGAGCGGGTGCTGGCGGAGGGAGACCTCTTTCCGAGGGAAAGCAGAGCTTCTGGTTCTGCGGGGGTTACAAGTCCCCGGCCATCTTTCCGGGGGCAGCGGGGTAGCAGCGTCGCCTGTTTCTTGGGGGTAATCACGTTCTGCGGGCCTGCCTCGCGTTCCTGTCCTGAGCGGGCAGCGGCGCTGCTGGGCTCTACAGAAGCGGCTGCCGTCCCCGCAGAGCTGGGTGACTGACAGTGGCGGGTGAGAGGGCGGGTAAAGCGCTGGGGACGAGCGGCGCTGCACGTCCTCAGGAGAGAGGCCCCCCAGCCGGCCTCACGTTCTGGGCACGTTCTGTGCCCCCCGCTAGGTGCCGGAGGAGACGAAGTGCATCTCGGTGTTGGCATGGGCGCGGCCCACGCTGGCGCAGCCCACCTTGGGCCTGAAGATGAAGGGGAAGACCTTCTTGAAGGCTTTCCGGAAGTTGGCCCCCATGAAGGCGTAGACGACGGGGTTGACGGAGGAGTTGGCGTAGGACATGCAGTGGGCCCAGATCTTCACCTTGTAGACGTAGTAGTTGCGCTGGAAGCGGGGGGCAAAGGCCTGGAGGAGGAGGAGGAATTGAACGGGCCCCCAGCAGATGGTGAAGAGCACCACGATGATGGCCACCATGCGGGAGATCTTGGCCCGCATCGCCTCGGAGCGTTCCGCCAGCTGCTGCACCTTGCACGCCATAGAGACAGGGCATGGGCGGTCGCACGTGCGCCAGCTGGACACGTGCAAAGTGGCACGCACACAAGGGGTTGCACGGGCGTATAGCACCACACCGCCGGGAGAGTGGTTAGGAGCGGGGATTAAACCGGCGACCTCCGGATCAAAGCATGAGCCGCTGCTGCCTGAGCTAAAGGAACAGCCCAGTGGCGGGCTCAGCAACCTCTAGCGACAGCCCAGCCACCACCGCGGGGGAGAAGGGGACCCTCCGAGCATCACATGTGCAACCAGCAGGGTGCCTCAGTGTGCATTCACAGGCACGCCGTGTGGTGAGTGCACAGGTGCAAATGGCAGCGTGTGTGGTGCACGTCCACGTGGACACAGATGCAGCTCCCTGCAGCCATACGCCATGCACGTGAGCATTGCTGTGCACACACCGGCGTGTACAGAGACCTGGGATGAATTTAGCCCTGCGGCCAAGGGGGAGCCAACAGGAGTGACGGGTGCTCGGTGCCTCTGGGGGTCAGGGTTTATATAGCTCTCCGCATGCACACGCCCCCTACTGGTGTGTGCAGGGAGTACAGGGGGAGGAGCCAGTTACCTGGTAGTTGTTATCGACCGGCTCCACGGTGGGATGGCCCATCTGGTAGAGCATGGCCACGTAGCAGACACAGATGGTCAGGAGGGGCACCAGGTAGACGGCCAGGAAGTTGTAGAGGGTGAAGGCCTTCTCGTGGGCAGCAGAGGGGAAGGACTCGCTGCAGTAGGTCTGCGGCCCAAACCAGTAGCCCTCTGTCAACCTGTTGTACACCAGCACCGGGGTGGAGAGGACAAAGGAACCTGCCACGGGCAGCAAGCACCAGAATCAGTGACCCAGCACCAGGCTGGATCCTTGCCTGGCTTTGCGGCTTGGTGGAGGAAGAAGGGACAGAACCGACCCAGCACTGGGCTCCCAGCCGGGAGAGCAGGGGGGAGGGACAGAACCGACCCAGCACTGGGCTCCCAGCCGGGAGAGCAGGGGGGAGGGACAGAACCGACCCAGCACTGGGCTCACAGCCGGGAGAGCAGGGGGGAGGGACAGAACCGACCCAGCACTGGGCTCCCAGCCGGGAGAGCAGGGGGGAGGGACAGAACCGACCCAGCACTGGGCTCCCAGCCGGGAGAGCAGGGGGGAGGGACAGAACCGACCCAGCACTGGGCTCCCAGCCGGGAGAGCAGGGGGGAGGGACAGAACCGACCCAGCACTGGGCTCCCAGCCGGGAGAGCAGGGGGGAGGGACAGAACCGACCCAGCACTGGGCTCCCAGCCGGGAGAGCAGGGGGGAGGGACAGAACCGACCCAGCACTGGGCTCACAGCCGGGAGAGCAGGGGGGAGGGACAGAACCGACCCAGCACTGGGCTCCCAGCCGGGAGAGCAGGGGGGAGGGACAGAACCGACCCAGCACTGGGCTCCCAGCCGGGAGAGCAGGGGGGAGGGACAGAACCGACCCAGCACTGGGCTCCCAGCCGGGAGAGCAGGGGGGAGGGACAGAACCGACCCAGCACTGGGCTCCCAGCCGGGAGAGCAGGGGGGAGGGACAGAACCGACCCAGCACTGGGCTCACAGCCGGGAGAGCAGGGGGGAGGGACAGAACCGACCCAGCACTGGGCTCACAGCCAGGGAACAAAGTGGAGGGCCAGATCCATTCCATTCCCCTTTCTTTGTCGAGAGCTCCGGAGACAGCCCCTCATGGCCAGCTCGCCCCAGGGGGCCAAGTGTCCCCCACTCCCCGCCAGCCCCACTCACAGATCCAGATGCCCAGGCTGACGGCGGCGGCGAGGCGGGGGGTGCGCAGGCGCAGGGAGCGCAGCGGGAACACGGTCACGTACCAGCGGTCCATGCTCATGGCCGTCAGGGTGGCGCAGGTGGCCTGCACGGAGACCTACAAGGGGGTAGAAGCGGAGAGGGAAGGCCATGGGAGCAGCCTTGGCAGGGGGCCAGGCCACGCTGGGCCTCTGCCCTCAGCCCGCGGATTGGCATGCACGGGGTGTGCCCTGTCGTGTGACAGCAGCGTGAGGTGCTGGTGTGCAAGGGGGGGCAGAGCTCCCCCCGTTGCTGCCCCAGGGGGCTCTGCTCTGCCCAAGGGGGGGGCGAAGCTCTTGGCTAGCGCCTCACCTGCTGGATGTAATTGACAAACTTGCACATGAACTCGCCAAAGATCCAGCCGGGCAGGGGGTACAGCACGGCGGTGAACGGCACGCAGCACACCAGGAAGATGATGTCTGTGCTGGCCAGGTTGGCTGCCAAAAGAAAGGCAGCGTCATGCAGTGATTAGGGCTCGAGAGGCCTGGCTTCAAATCCTGCTTCTGCCACAGGCTCCCTGTGCCCCCTTGGGCAAGTCACTTAATAGCAGTGCCTCAGTTTCTTGCCAGTGTGATGGGGAGAATAGCTCTGCTCTGTCGCTCAGGGGCCCAGTGAGGCGACACCCATTAATGGTGGCAAAGCACTTGGATCCCTCAGCATCAGGGAGGCCACAGACTGATTTAAAAGGGGAACGAGCCGGCCTTTGCGGATTCATTTCTCACCATCCCCTGCCACTCTGGGAACAGGCCCGAAACAAAGACTTTCCTGCTGGAATATGGAAACTGACCCTCTTTCTATGTAGGCCAAGCCCTGGTTTATTTCCGCTCCTCTTCACTCCAGGTAAAGGGTGTATAGCACCAGGGGTCACTGTGGCCAGCGCTGCAGGATTTCACCTGCAGCAGCACAGTCTGGGAGAGAGCAGCAGACCGGGGCCTCGTATTTTTCCACCAGTTAGATGCTTCCCTCGTGGCACCCACAGATTCCCAGGGCTGTGCCTCAGCAGAGGGGAATTGTCGTTGCTCCTGGGAAGTTCACAGAGCTGGGTCAATATGCCCCGGCCCAGCATCTTCAAGGGCCCCGAGAATGTCTCCTAAGGGATTCCTGCATCAAGCCCGTATCCCCCGTCTTCCAGCTCCTGGAGCAGGCAGAGCTGCCACCAGCAGCAGCGCAGAAGGGCAGCCTGGCCTGGCCCAGCCCGGGGTGCTGCTTTCAGAGCTGGGCACCCGTCTCCAGCCACCCGGTCTGAAGGCAGCACAGAACTCAGGGAGGCAGAACCATGACAACCCCTTCGCCCCTAAAATAACCGTGTGACCTGCCCCCGCAGCTCCCGTTTGGGTCAGGCCCCCGGTTTGAGATGTGCTGGTCTCCCCCTTGCAATCTGTGTAGTACAAGGTAACAGCTCACGAAAGGCCAGATTTCCCAGTCCGTGATGTGCATGAGTTGGGTAGGGCCCCAGCTATAAGGCAGGTTTTCCAAGCTTTTAATCCTTCCCGTGGCTCTTATTTGAAGCCCCTCAAATTTGTCCACCAACTTCCTGAATTGTGGGCATCAGAACTGGACACAGGAGCCCACGTATCAGGGTCAAATACAGAGGTAAAAATAACGTCTCTGCTCTGACCGAGATTCCCGTTCACGCTGCCCCGGGTGGCTTGACCCAGCGTTACAGGGGGACTCCCGTTCCGCTGGTTATTCTCCACAGCCCCCCAAATCTTCTGCAGAGTCCCTGCCTCCCGGACACACACCCCCGCCCGGGCCTACGGTCTTTGTTCCCAGCTGCCTCCGCTCCCATTTCGCTGCGTGGAAACGCGTTTTCTTGGCATGCGCCCCAGGGACCCGCACCGCTCTGGATAAGGCCTGTTCCCGAGTGCGTGCGAGGCGCCCAGCCACTAGCATGGACCTGCAGCTGCCAGTGGGGCCTGCCCGCTGCCCCTGGCTTTCGGGGTAACTCTTTGGAGTCCCTCTTTGGCACGCTGTCTGCACAGGGCCATACGCAAAACATCTAGCCACGTGGGCACCCCCAATTGCCCCAAAATTCATGGTGCCCCATGCAGCTGCGGGCTGCCTATGGGCTCTGGCACAGCCCAGTCCTTCCTCCCCTCCGCAGGCTCGGCGCCGGCTCTGATGGCCCCCAGCCCCATCCCCCCAC